CATACAACAACGACCATGTCTAGCACAAAAATGAGTTGCTTGTAGACAACATTCTTAGGGGGTCTACCCCTGCCGACACTTCTAACTTGGCTGAATGTTTAAATTAGCTCCATGCTCCTTGTTGGAAACATGTTCAACTGACATTCATTATCACGAGTGTTTGAGACGTCTAGCAGCTCACAATTAAACAATGAAATATCCCTTACATCGCAGTGTTAAGAAAATTTAAGTTTGTTTGGTTTTTTTTTTCAAGTAGCAATCAGCTAATTTTTTTATGGTTCATTTCGACGATGTCGTGCTGAAAAGAGATTTGAAATTTCTTGGCAAAATTTTGGTTTTCATATTTAATGATTTATGGCTATGTGGAACATAAAAACAATCATAAAAATTTGTTCAAGATTTTAAATCAATTTAATTAATTGCTGTTAGTCAGGTGAAATGTTGTTATTGTTCATTATCCGATCATTGCGAACTACCTGTCCCCCCACCTGGCCACAAAATCCACCTCTCACCGTTTGCTTTTGTTTTGTATTTCCTCTGTGTCAGGGAGGCGGGGAAGCTACTCGGTAGACTTGTTTGCGCCATTGCCATTGTGCGATTGTGCAATTAAAACAAATTTCTTTTTCCGTTTCCTTTCGTTTTGTTCGTGTGTTTTTATTTTTCTTCTTTTAATGGCAGCCATATTAGGGTTGCCAGTACAGAAAATTGAAATTTGTAATTAAATGTAGTAAAATCTTCTTTGAATCATGAAATCCATATCCCTTTTGTTCAATCCGCCAACAGGAAGAGTAGGGTGTTCTAGCTTTATTTCATTACAATTTCATTTTCAATTGTTTTGTTACTCCTTCCACTACCATCATCCAAATCGCATTGAGGTGGTATGACCAATTACATTTTTGCCCTCAAATGCCGACAACATTTTGCTTCGTAGACGAAGGATATTAAAAGATTACCGAGATTATAATGCCTCTTATGGCAACAACTAAGACGGCTTTTTAAAAGTAACGAAAAATTTCCTCAACCTTTCTCACATGTTTCCGGAATTTCAAGGAGTTGTGGTTTGAATATAAAATTATATGAACAATGATTTGGACAGAAGGTGGTTTTCTTGGGGAAGAGATAGTAAGGACGGGGGAGGGAGCGGGTGAGAGAGGTGCAAATAATTGTGGAAATTCCTTTTGTTCATGCTGATTGATTGATTAATTTATGAATTTCTTGGCATATTTGATGACAAAAGGGATTTCCAGTGGTTTTTGTGGGGGGCTTGGGTTCAATGGGTAAATTCTTTATAACCTAAGGGGCCTTGAGCGGGTCATGGTGAGGCTACAATATTCTCACCTGAGATTCAAGAAACACCAGGAAGGTTAAAGTCACGCATACATATTAACGAAGAATTATCCGTAAGAAAATAAGACACCTTAGCAATTAGATTGGCATTGTTCATATAAATTTCAAGTCCAGAATTAGAAGCAATATAAGAACAAGTTAAGAATACAGTGTTACCTGTGATAATTAGTTTAGCACAGACAATGGGATCAGCTGAGACATCAATCATTTCAGAAGGATTATGTCTATATAGACATAATCTATAACAAATCATTAAAAAAATAGTCTAAAGATGTAAAATCACACTATCAAGTCGGCTTACGGACTGCTACGGAACGTGAAATAAAATGTTCACCGAAATCGCATCTTAATAAGTCTGTGGTTAAACGTACGGTGTGGCATGTGACACCGTCTTGTTGGAACCGCATTTCAAGCAAATCAAGCTCTTGCATTTCGGCAAAAAAAGTTCGATATCACCTCTCGGTAGCGCGAAGCATTTACAGTTACGTTACGCTTTGCAGTATCTTCGAAGAAGCACGGTCCAATTATGCCACAAGCCCTTTAACCGCACCAAACTGCATCTGGCTGATCTTTATTCCAAAATTGGCAATTCTAATAATTACGTTCCTTTTGAGCAAATATATGAGGTAAGTCCCTGAAAACAATTTTTGTATGAACAAGTTAAATATCAGTCGGAATTCCCGAGATATGCATACCTCCAGCCGTGCATTATGGGGGAAGTTCCGAAGAAGTTTACCAATATTATCCATTTCTGACTCAGGAGTGATATATGTATGGGGACTTTACGTGGACCTGTACAGATAATTTTCTGTCGTAGGCTGTAGTATCCATTACAAACTTCAAATACCAAATATCAAATACCATACCATAGTATGGAAGGTATATTAAGTTTGTCATTCCGTTTGTAAAACTTCGAAATATACATTTTAGACCCCACAAAGTATATAAATTCTTGATCATCATAAAATTCTATGTCGATTTCACGACGACCGTCCGTCCGTCTTTCTGCCTGTCTGTCTGTCCGTCCGTTTGTCTGCCCGTCTGTGGAAATCACCATAGCTTCCGAACGAATAGAAATAGGTTAATATAACTTTGCTCAAATGTGTGTTTGGTCTGCAAGAATTTTGGTACTGAAAATGGGCTATAGAGGTCCACGTTTAGGTATAGCCTTCATATAACTGTACCACCTATATTCGGTAATTTACTGATTTCAGCAATAGTATTCACAGGAATTGTTTAATATTTCGTATTTGCTATTCGTACCGGGTTCTACAGCCTGTGACAGAAAATTGGCCATGCAGGTCTACGTCTTCGTATAGCCCCATATATCGGTACTCCCCTATATTCGGAATTTTGCTGATTTCAGCTACATTATTTACTGGAATTGTTTCATATTTCGTTTTTGAATTTCCTAATAGGTACTACGGTGCTTGACAAAAAATTGTCTATGCAGGGCCAGGTCTTCGTATAGCCCCTAAATATCGGTACCTTCCGATATTCGCCTTTTTTATCATTTTAGCGACTTTAGTCACGAGAATTGTTTCAAATTTCATATTTGAAGTTCCTAATGAGAAGCTCTCCGTATAGACCCTAAATATCGGAACCTCCCTACGTTCTAAATTTTGACAATTTTAGCTACATTTTTCACAGGAAATGGCAGGTCCACGTCTTCGTATAGACACGAAAATAACAGCAACTCCCTATATACGGTATTATTAAGGTTTTAACAGAATTTATAACGAATTCAATTCTTTATTTATTTATTTTTATTTATTATTTATTTTTTTTTTTTTTTTTGAAAATTTCCAAATTCCTTCCAAAAGGTGGAGGGTATTCAAAATTAGGCCCGGCCGACATTACTGATTTTTCACTTGTCATACTTCATCTAATACAGATATTAAAATTGGTACGGGCAAAATTACAACAAAATCGAGCATTTATATCCAATTTTATGCAAAATCATAAATTCCATATCCATCTTACGTTTCTGGTTGAGAGAAATATTTAGGTGTAACAAGTTGTAAATAATCGCTGACTTGTTTCTCAAGTTATGACAGATATAAGAATTGAAAACTGTGACCCTGAAGGGTTTCCCAGATATATATCATCTTCACAACAGATCTGGTGTTAGCAAACAGTTTTGTTGGTGGCTTATTTCGCTTTTTTTAAGCATTTTTTTTTTTCAAAATCTTGAACCCTTTGTGGGGGAGGTACCAGAAGGAATGTTCCGATCTTTACCATCTTTATAATAGATCTTGTGTATAGTAGATCTTGTGAATATGGAAGTATTGAGATGTACCAAGTCTGAATGGAATCGGATGTTTATTTTGCGTTTTATGAACTTCATGGATTTTCAAAATGTTGAACCTTTGTGGGGGAGGTACCAGAAGGAGTGGACCGATATATCACATTTTCACAGCAGACCTTGGGTTAATAAAAATATTGTGATGTGTGTAATTTGAAGAGAACCGGATGCTTATTTCGGATTTTATGATCGTTTTGGTTATCCAAAACTTTGACCTTCTGTGGGGGAGCTACCAGAAGGAATGGTCCGATCTCTACCATCTTTGTAACATATCATGTGTTTATGGAGATATTGAGTTGTACCTGAATGGAATCGGATGATAATTTCGTGTTTTATAAGCTTCTTGAACATTCAGAAGGTACCGATGCATTCCATCTTCACACTATACCTTGGGTTCATAAAAATATTGTGATGTGTGTGATTTGAAGACAATCGGACCATTACATCAAATTTTAAAAGGGTTATAATTATTTAAAATTTTGACCCCTTTGTGGGGTACGTATATGATGGAATAAACCGATACTCTCTATTTTCGCACCTGACCTGATACTGATGCAATTATTAGGATTTGCAAAGTTGGCGCAAATTCGGATTATCCTTTCTCCTACTGTGCAATAAATTATTTCCCTTGAAAATGTTGCCATCTTGTGGGGAGGTACCAAAAGGCGTGGACCGATATTGCACATTTCTGAACTCGATCTAAATTTGATAATCATATTACGATGTACCGAGTTTGGACTAAATCGGATAATCCCTTTGAGGCGGACGGACATCACTACATCGACTTCAAATGTTTTTAAACGGCTCCAGGTTCAATATTTGCTATAGCCGCCATCTAACACTTTTGTGTAGAATATTTCTTCTTTTGACTCCTTCTGTCTAAATAGAAATCTTATGTCACTTTCAACTCGAAAAATGGCCAAGGAAAATTTGATCAAAGAAATTGGGAAATATTTTCGGGATTTTTTGGAATATTTATGCCAACAATTTTTGTTTTCCTTTTTAGCTCTACTTTCATAATCTGTAGGATTTTCCCTGTAATTATTGGTGTCCTTGGAAAACAATTATTATAGGAAACATTTGAAAAATTAGTTCTAAAAATCCATACCTATTGGCCAGGTAGTTCTTGAAAAAGTATGTCTAATTATAATTATTTTTTACAGTTTTATATAGACCTATAGATTTCTATTTATTTAGATTTGCCAGAAAATTTAATATTAATAAAAATATTCTTCTAATATTTTAATTATAAGCTGTCATATAAAAACGCCTGCTATATTATGGTAGACTTAATACCAAAATATATATTTAGATATATAAACGAAATAAAACGAAAATCTCCACTCACCTGTACAAAGGTATGCCGGCATTATCACGAAACCACAAGACCATGTAGACATCGTCCAATGGCGCAGATATGGGACATGGCAGTGACACTGATTTACCCTCGACAGCTTCAATATCTTTTGTTTTAACTATTAACGGGAAACGGAAAAACACACACACATCCATACACACGGGCACAATAACATTAAGCCGAGATGTAAATGTGAAACGTTGGTGTTGGTTGGTATAGGTGAGGGGAAACGGTGACGGCGACCATATTTGTCCGGCCAAAAGAAATGATTATAAACGTGACCAAGGTGCCAAGGATAGATGATGATGATGGTGGCACAAAAGCAACAACGACGATATGCCAGGCCAGCAGGTGTATTTTTACAAAGCCAAAGACACAAGGAAAGCAACCAGGACCCAGTGATGGTAACGATGCCGATGGGAACCACATTCGCGTAGCAAGACAATGATAATATGTGTGGGTGGGCGGTATAGGTTCCATGGGTATTGTTTATATTGATGCCCATTCAGAACAAAGCGGGTTGGGTCATCATCATCATCAGTTATGTTTGTTTTGTTTTTGGTTTTGTTATGCCACAAAATGCCATGACCATGACAACACCAAAGGCAAATGTCGTTGTTGGTATTATCATTTAGTTGGACAGGCAATAACATTTTCATTTCGGATTGTCCAGTAAGCCAGGCAAGCGACCACCAGCACCAGCAACAAGATTCATATTCAAAGCCAAGAGAGAGCCAAAGCCATACAAAGAAATCATCGGGAACGGTAATGGCATCAGTCATGTAAATTTAATTAATATAACAACATCATGGTGGTCAAACAATCATCAATTGTTTGATGGAAAGAAAGACAGAAGAAAAAACAACAACAATCACAACAACAGCCACAGACATTGTCATTCGCAAGGACCGCCGTTGTAGGATAAAAGGGGAATCGGGTGGATGTCAACACAAAAAGTATTGAAGTGTTCCAATAACAACACCCACCCACATCCATTAACAACAGATACATCAAAAGGTGTACAAAAAGTTGTTGTGTTATTGTTGTTGTTGTTGTTCGAGTCGTGAACAATGTCACCATGCAATTGACATCATTAGTTGTTGCGTACAACCAAACGGTCAAACAAAGTTCCAACAGCATCATCAGCAGCAGCAGCAGTAGTAGTAGTAGTTGTAGTGGCATTAAAGAAAACATTCCATCCATGGCGAACAGAAAAAAATGTTCAGGTTCAGTTTAAGATATTTGTTGTTGTTATATGGTTAGTTGTTGTTATTGTTCCGGTAGTTATGACCACATTGAGAGAGTGTGTGTGTGTGTGCGAGAGTTTTAGTTCACATCCATGTAGGTGTGAGTTGTCAAGTTGTACAAAAATTTCCCCAGTTATTGTTGGTCGTCCATTGGTTCGTTGGCATTGTGGTCCAATGGCAAGTGGTTTGTTTACCAGTCGCAGTCGCAGGGTGGGGGGTTATAGTTATTTTTATATTGTGTGCCATTGAGGTTGCGAGTTCCGTACGTATAATGTTTTTTTTTGTTCCACACATAGTATTTGGTTGTTCGCAAGCCATGTTGCCAGATCCAACACAAAATTTATTTTTTTAGGTTGATTTTGGGTTATTGTTATCCAAAGCGCCACATAATAAAGTAGAAGGATCCATGTTTTAATAGAGTGTTGTGGGTTGTTTCCAGTTGCAGATATTCAACAGGGATCGGAAAAGAGAAGAAAAAATTAAGGAGAAAATATTTAATATGAGTAAAACGCAAGATATTATGAGGAACTAAATACAATTTTATAAAGCTCGAGAAGGTCTTAATTAAAAAGGTAAGACCGACGGTATTTCTATGAGAAGATAAAGATGCCTAAATAAAGAAGACCACAAGATCATCTTTGAGGAAACCCAGGCAAACTCCAAACTCATATTCATGGAGAAGACAAACAAGTTCTCCAAAAGAAAAATCCAATAAGAATTCAGAGATAGAAGAATAACATGTGTCATTCTTATAAACGAACTGGTTGATTTCTTTTAGAAGACCAGGCCCAAAGGTCTTCTCAAAGAAGGTTCACAGCAGGTCTTCTCATAGAAGGTCCACAGCAGGTCTTCTCCTAAAAGGTCCACAGCAGGTCTTCTCATAGAAGGTCCACAGCAGAAGGCCTTCTCATAGAAGAGCAAAAGGTCTTCTCATAGAAGGCCAAAGGTCTTCTCATAGAAGGCCAAAGGTCTTCTCATAGATGACCAAAGGTCTTCTCATAGAACAGCAGATAAAGGCCTTCGCATAGATGGCCAAAGGTCTTCTCATAGATGGCCAAAGGTCTTCTCATAGAAGGCCAAAGGTCTTCTCACAGAACAGCAGATAAAGGCCTTCGCATAGAATATAAGAAGAAGATCTTCTCATAGAAGATCACAAGAAGGTCTTCTCATAGAAGTGCACAATAAGGTCTTCTCACAGAAGAGCAGAAGAAGGTCTTCTCATAGATGACCAGTAAGTGGGTCTCGTCAGAGGGGACCAGTAAGTTGGTACTCCCATAGAAGACCAGTAAGTAGTTCTCCTCATAGGAGATCAGTAAGTGGGTCTTCTCATATAAGTCTAGTAAGTAGGCCTTCTCCTAAAAGACCAGCAAGTAGGTCTTCTCATAGAAGACCAGTAGAATGTCTTCTCATAGACCAATAGTAGAAGACCAATAGTAGGTCTTCTCATAGAAGACCAGTAAGTAGGTCTTCTGTAGAAGACTAGCAAATAGGTCTTCTCATAGAAGACAAGTAGTCTTCTTCTCATGGAAGACCAGTAGTATGTCTTCTCATAGAAGACTAATAGTAGGTCTTCTCATAGAAGAACAATAGTAGGTCTTCTTATAAATGACCAGCACCAGCATAAAATACCAGGACTTCTCATATTAGACCAATAAGTAGGTCTTCTCATAAAAGGCATGTAGTAAGTCTTCTCATAGAAGATCAGTAGTAGGTCTTCTCATAGAAGATCAGTAGTAGGTTTTCCAATAGAAGGTCTTATAGGCGAAGAGTCCCTTCTCTTGCAGGGAAAGAGATTGTGCTCTTGTAGCTGAAGAGCTCCTGCCCATCTTGAGAAGAGTTCCCTCTGTTAGAAGAAACGTTGTCGCTCTCGTAGAATTAGAGTCCCTTCCCTTGTAGAAGAAGATGTCATTTTCTTCTAACAGAAGATATCATTTTCTTCTAAAAGAAGAGCTCCTTCTCTTCTAAAAGAAGAGCTCCTTCTATTCTAAAAGAAGAGCTCGTTCTATTCTTAAAGAAGAGCTCCTTCTATTCTAAAAGAAGAGCTCCTTCTCTTCTAAAAGAAGAGCTCCTTCTCTTCTAAAAGAAGAGCTCCTTCTCTTCTAAAAGAAGAGCTCCTGCTCTTCTAAGAGAAGAGCTCATGCTCTTCTAAGAGAAGAGCTCCTGCTCTTCTAAGAGAAGAGCTCCTGCTCTTCTCTTCTAAAAGAAGAGCTCCTTCTATTCTAAAAGAAGAGCTCCTTCTATTCTTAAAGAAGAGCTCCTTCTATTCTAAAAGAAGAGCTCCTTCTATTCTTAAAGAAGAGCTGCTTCTCTTCTAAAAGAAGAGCTCCTGCTCTTCTAAGAGAAGAGCTCCTGCTCTTCTAAGAGAAGAGCTCCTGCTCTTCTAAGAGAAGAGTTCCTGCTCTTCTAAGAGAAGAGTTCCTGCTCTTCTAAGAGAAGAGTTCCTGCTCTTCTAAGAGAAGAGTTCCTGCTCTTCTAAGAGAAGAGTTCCTGCTCTTCTAAGAGAAGAGTTCCTGCTCTTCTAAGAGAAGAGTTCCTGCTCTTCTAAGAGAAGAGTTCCTGCTCTTCTAAGAGAAGAGTTCCTGCTCTTCTAAGAGAAGAGTTCCTGCTCTTCTAAGAGAAGAGTTCCTGCTCTTCTAAGAGAAGAGTTCCTGCTCTTCTAAGAGAAGAGTTCCTGCTCTTCTAAGAGAAGAGCTCCTGCTCTTCTAAGGGAAGAGCTCCTGCACTTCTAAGAGAAGAGCTCCTGCTCTTCTAAGAGAAGAGCTCCTGCTCTTCTAAGAGAAGAGCTCCTGCTCTTCTAAGAGAAGAGCTCCTGCTCTTCTAAGAGAAGAGCTCCTGCTCTTCTAGGAGAAGAGCTCCTGCTCTTCTAGGAGAAGAGCTCCAGCTCTTCTAGGAGAAGAGCTCCTGCTCTTCTAGGAGAAGAGCTCCTGCTCTTCTAGGAGAAGAGCTCCTGCTCTTCTAGGAGAAGAGCTCCTGCTCTTCTAGGAGAAGAGCTCCTGCTCTTCTAGGAGAAGAGCTCCTGCTCTTCTAGGAGAAGAGCTCCTGCTCTTCTAGGAGAAGAGCTCCTGCTCTTCTAAAAGAATAGCTATTTTATTCTAAAAAAAGAGCTTCCACTTTTCTCTTCAGCTGTTCTAAAAGGAGGGCTCTTCTAGCAGAGAAACTCCTGCTCTTCTAAAAGAAGAGCTGCTCTTCTTTAAATATAACTTTTTTAATTTCTCAAAAACGGGGTTTTAAAGATAAAATTTGTTCTTTACAAGAGGACCTCTCTGTCTTCTATTAAAGTACAACTTGGTATTCTATATGAAGACCTCATGGTCTTCTCTGAGTAGGCGTATTGGTCTATATATATATATATATATATATATATATAAATACCTCTGTGTCGTTCTCTTGAAGACCAACAAATTACATTCCAATTGTTCTTCTCATTATAAAACCGAAATCCCATCCTTAAAGTATTTAAATATATTTTTAATAGGCTTTCATTATTATTAGGAAAATTTTAAGAATTTTAATTCCCATAACAAAATTTTAATAAATTCCATAAGAATTTTTCTTGATATTCATTTCTATACTCAATTTTTCTTAAAATTCCTATAAACTTCTTTTAGTGAAAAATATTCATTTGAATTCAATATCTCTGGCAATTTGTCATTAACAAAATTATGTTATCAACATTTCAATGGTTATTGACATATATTATGATCAATAAATTATAATATGTTCCCTTTTAGCAGGACATGCAATAATGGCATACACACCTACATACACATTGAAGGCAATAACAACAACATTATTAATTTGTAATTATGTCAAAAAGCAGCTTACATAATATGCTAGTGTGTGTTTGTATTTGTATTTGTAAATTTCATTA